ATAACAAAAATTTAATCAAAGTTTTAGATCGTTTGAGGAAAGTAAATTTAAAGCTAAATCCAGCAAAGTGCAAATTTTTGAAAAAAGAAATTTTATATTTGGGTCATTTAATTTCGGCTGAGGGAGTCTCTCCAGATCCCGAGAAGGTACGTGTTATGCGGGCGTATCCCGTACCGAAGGATTCCAGTGAGACGAAGCGATTCGTAGCGTTTGCAAATTATTATCGTAAATTCATAAAAAATTTTGCAGAAATCGCGAAGCCATTAAATAATTTATCCAAAAAAGGAGTTAAATTCGAATGGTCTGAAGAATGCCAACAGGCTTTCGAAATACTCAAAACAGCTCTGATTAATCCACCTATTTTAGATTTTCCAGATTTTACTAAAAATAATAAATTCAAATTATGGACAGACGCGTCAAAATTTGCTGTAGGTGCAGTTTTGTATAATAGCAACGGTAGACCAATCGCATTTGCTAGTAGAGTTTTGAATAATGCGGAGCAGAGATATTGTACAATAGAGAAAGAGTTATTAGCTATTGTCTGGGCTGTTAGTCGTTTTAGGCCATATTTATTCGGTAGACATTTCCAAATTTTCACCGATCATCGGCCTTTAGTTTATTTATTTGGCATGAATAACCCTTCAAGTCGATTAACAAAATTCAGATTGAAATTAGAAGAATACGATTTTACCGTAACACACGTGAAAGGAAAAGACAATGTTGTAGCGGACGCATTATCTCGTGTAGAAATACATTCGAAAGATTTGGTCAGTTTATCTAACGATATAAACCAAAAAATTTTTGTAACCACCCGAGCTCAAACGAAAGCGCTACAAAACGAACAGAATTCGTCCGAAAGGTTGCCGAGTGCTAGGCCTGATCACCCTGGTATGGTAGAACTTTTGAAGATGCCTGAGCGTTACATAGAGCTTAAGTTTGTTGATGAAATAACGTTTAACAAAATCTACAAAAAGTATCGCGATACGAGTACAAAAACGAATGCCAGTACAAATATAAATACAAGTTCAAGGTTGAATAAAAATAAAAGTGAAAGAAAAGCAACTGTGATATTTGATGACGAATCAAATATAGTTTATTGCAACTATCGGGATCCTCGATCGACGACGTACTTAGGTAACACGTTGAGAGAACTGATTAAGACTTGCAAATTAAATAAAATTCCGGAATTATTAATAATTAAAGGTAATATTGAAAAACAGTTGTTTGATTATATAGTAGGGAAGTTATACGTTTTTCGTGAAGGTGGAGTAAAAATTAATGTTATCAGAAACCAGATAAACGTGACAAATAAAGAAACTAGAGTATTAATTTTAAACGATTTTCACATGCTACCAACAGGTGGACACGCGGGAGTCAACAGAATGTTTAATAATATCAAAAAATATTATTTTTGGTCAGGTTTAAAGAAAGATGTTGAGAAATTCGTAGCATGCTGTCATAAAGAAACAACCACTAGAAATTACTACAACAGCATCCAGTTCTTTTCAGAAAGTTTTTCTTGACTTAGTAGGTCCTTTACGTCCTGATAGTAATAATAATATATATATCTTAACTATTCAGTGCGAATTAACCAAATATGTAGAGTGCTATCCGATTCGAAATAAAGAAGCAGAGACCGTAGCCAAAGCTTTTGTTGAAAATTTTATTTTGCGTTTTGGTATTCCAAATTCGATAGTATCGGATCAAGGTACAGAATTTATGTCGGGAATATTCAAAGAAACTTGTAGGTTACTTTGTATACAGCAATTAAACGCTACAGCTTATCACCATCAGACGCTAGGTGCTTTGGAAAACTCTCATAAACATCTAGGCGCGTATTTGAGAATTCAAGCATCAGAAAATTGGGACACTTGGGGTTCTTGGGTGCCATATTGGTGCTTTGCCTATAATAATACAGTCCACACAGAAACTCGTTATACGCCATACGAACTGGTATTTGGTAAAATCGCTCAACTGCCGTCTAATGTTACAACCAAAGTTGATCCTATCTATAATTTTGACGACTATCCGAAAGAATTAAAGTACAGGTTACAAGTTGCTTGGGATGATGCACGATACAACTTAATACAGACGAAGAGTCGTAGAAAAGAAAAATGTGATTTAGTTAGGGCGGAATTTAGTTTTAAGGAAGGTGATAAAGTGTTAATGCGGAACCCTTTGAGTGACAAAAGTGATGCGGTATACAAGGGACCATATGAAGTGATTAGTGACGAAGGTTCTAACGCAATAGTTAAAGTGAAAGACAAACCAGTGCGTATTCACAAAGACAGACTGAAACTATATCGTAGTTAAGAACTGTAAAAAGCAAGGAACTATATAGTCATTAGCAAATTTCAAAATAATGTTATCAAAAGAAAAAAAATTGTTTTGTAATTCTAATAATAGATTCATGTTAAATAGTTAATAAGATTTAGCATAGGTTAACTGGGTAGGTTAGGTTACTATTATTAGTAAACAAATTTTTTTTTTTTTTCGCCCACCGGGAGAGGTGTAAGGAATGCGGTAGTGTCGAAAACACAAACGAAATGTTGCAATGTTAACAAACTGCCAACTTCCGTACATCCCTCTGGCGAAATCAGGTGGCATAATGTTTAGGTTAATGAAATAGTAGAGTTAGCAATATTTAGTTTATTTAAGGCGTGTGTATGAATTGGGAGAAGGAGAAGCAGAAGTAGAGTGATAGAAGTAGTTATTGTTAGTGTAGTAAAGAACAGTGAAATAAAGATGTGAAAGTGAGTTGTTAGTATGTTTCCACCCTGGTAACCACCCATCAGGGGAATCATGGTAAACAGAGGTTTATCACAATTTTTTTTTTCTTCAATTTCTAGATTTTTCACTTTTTCCATATTTAAAGTTTCGTTTTTTCAATTTTTCATTTGTTTAGTTTTTTGATTTGCAATTTTTCCTTCTTTGAATTTATATAATTTTTCAATTTTTTTCAATTTTTCAATTCCTCACTTTTAAATTTTTTAGTTAAAATTTTTCGTTTCTTTAATTTTTCCATTTAACAATTATTCGTTCAGTTTCCCGTTTTTTCAAATTTTCGTTTCTTCAACTTTTGATTTTCCACTTTTCCTGTTTTTAATTTTCCGCTTTTTCAATTTCTTAGGTTGAAATTTTTCGACCGTACATTTTCCGATTTTACAGTTTTTCGTGTTTTCAATGTTACAGTTTTTCGATCTTACAATTTTTCTTTCGTTCAAATTTCCGATTGTATAATGGTTCAATTTTTTTAATTCTTGAATTTTTCGTTTTGTCATTTCTTCGATTTTTTAAGATCCTCGATTTTTAAATTTTCGATTTTTCAATTTTTTGTTTCTTCAATTTGTCGATTTTACAATTTTTCGTTTTTACAAAATTTTCCTTTCTTCGATTTTCGATTTTTCATTTGTTTAGTTCCAACTCATATAATTTTTCATAATTTTTTTCTTTAATTTCTCGATTTTACAATTTTCGTTCAATTTCACGTTTTTTTAAATTTGCCTTTATTCAACTTTTGATTTTCCATTTTCCCAGTTTTTAATTTTTCGCTATTTCAGTTTCTTGGTTTGAAATTTTTCGACCGTACATTTTCCGATTTTACAGTTTTTCGTGTTTTTAGTTTGTTGATTTTTTCATTTTGGAATTTTTCAATACTTTAATTTTCCGTGTTTTCAATTTCTCGCAATTTTTGGATTTTTCATGTTTTAAATTTTTCGTTTCTTCACATTTTCGCTCTTTCAATTTTTCCGATTATATGATTTTTCAGATTTTTGATTCTTCAATTTATCGTTTTGTCATTTCTTCGATTTTTTTATTCCTCGACTTTTAAATTTTTTAATTTCCGATGTTTCGGGTTTTCGTTTCTACATTTTCTCGATTTTTTCTATATTACAATTTTTCGATTTTTCATGTTTAAATTTTTTTGGATTAATATATTTTTTCAGTTTTTTCATTCTTCTATTTCTTGTTTTGTCAGTTCTTCGATTTTTTAATTCCTCGACCTTTGAATTTTCGATTTTTCAGTTTTTCATTTTTTGAATTTCTAGTTTTTTTAATTTTTCGTATTTTTTATTTTTCCATTTTTTCAGTTTTCCGTTTCTTCAATTTTTCAATGTACAATTATTCGATTTTTTGAAGAAACAGCAAACAATTGAAAAATCGAAAAATTGAAAATCGAAAAACTGAAGAAACGAAAAATTAAAAAATACAAAAACTGAAAAATCGACAATTTTAGAAAAGTGGCGCTATACAAACACAGTTTGATTCTTAAGCTTTCCAAGTCATTAAGGCCATTTAAGAAATAATGTACAATAAAATAGCAGTTAGTTTTTTTAGTCATTACTGCAAGCCATTACTGTATTATTGATTATGATGAACGACCAACCAAGCTATTTCTTGCCCATTTCAGCATAGCAACAGCTTTAATAGTATCATAGAGACCTCATTTATGAATAAATGAAAAATTAATAAAATTCAAAATTTTCCATTTCGAAAAATGAGAACGCAAAATTTTGAAAATAAATTCGCGCTATAGCATTTTATATTTTTAAAAATAATTAAAATTGTAACAGGACTCGAAATTGTGTATTTATAGTTATAGGGGAAGATTGATATTTAAATTTTGTCAACGCCATTGTTTCAAGCACATACTTAAAATTGTGGTGCATTATGACTTTCCCCGGTTTCCCCTACACCGAAAATCCAATTTAGTCCTCACCACAAACTCACATACGTTAGTTAAATGCCGGGAAAGTTCAACCCCATTAAACCCAACAATCAGGACATACGAAAGCTCACAAATCCCTCGTGGTATCAGTGGATGCACCGAGCGCCATCTTCACTCCCCCGCCGCCTCCCAGATGGCGCCCCGTACATCCTTATCGCAAAAATCGACCCACCACAGGACACACGCATCCTCCTTCCTCCTCACACAACCATCAAACTTTCACAGCATGCCATAAACAGACTATAAACAAACACGTGCAAAAAGTACATGCCTTCACTTCCTCGCCCTTATCGTAGTCGAGCTTCCAGTTGAGGTGATCGTCGACCAGCTTCTTCAGCATGTCGAAGTCGCTGTCCTCCGCTATCTTCACGACGCCCGCCTCCATTTCCTGCAACAACCACCGGTGAATGCGACGCTCGGCGTCCCGACGGCGACCACCACTTCATTTTCTATTCTTGCGTCGCGGCGCCTTCATCGTACGTATTATCTGACGCCCCACGTTTGTGTAGTGTTGTGACGATCGATTGAGTGTCGAGTTTTTGTGGCGCGCTATATCTGCCGGGGACGGCGTTCGGGGTTCGATAAGCCGGACGCCCCCGCACGCAATTAATTAGCTCATTTCCGGGCTAGATACGGGCCTGTGATTTCGCTGAATTTGACGATGTGGGAAGGGTAGGGATGGGGTTGTAATGCAGTTGAGTGCATTATTTTTTTTTGTGGTTTGAAATGACGTGATGATGTGGGTGAATGCGATTGGCTGAGCGGGTGTTTGCGGTGTCGGGCGACCAATCAGAAGTCGGCCGCGAGAGATAATCGAGCTGCGGGTGTTTGAATTGTTTGCATGATGTTACGAAATTTGCGCCATTTTTAATTAAAAGTTTGATTTGATAATGTGGTGGAGAATTAAAATAGAATTCGTTTATCTTGCGAAATACGTAAATAATTTATTATTATTTGAGGTTGATCGCTATCTAATGGATTTATAATTATGTTGTAAGATAACTGCAAATCTATTGTAAACTGTACGGTGAAAAGTGTTTTATTTCGTGCCAAAAATTCGGACGAAGTAGCAGATTTAATGCAACGATCGCTGCGTCACCAGGAAACTTGATTTGTTCATGAACAGGGGTAAAATATGGCAGTTTTTAGTATTAAAAAAATATTTTCTTAAATTTTGATCTTGACAACAAACATGTCATATTTTTCGATTTTTTTGTGGATTTTTAGACAATTTTTTTAAGACATTCTAAAATTACCCACAGAGATTATTTTGTAGATTTCTCCTCCAGAAGAGATTTTCGGCTTCATTTTTTCCAAAATTTCTACTATTTTTCCAGAATCGCCAATATAAAATGGGGAAAATTTTAGAATTTTTCAAAAATTTGATTTTGAAAGATTACCGAGCGACATTTTTTGCAGATCTCGACCTCTCAACTTATTTTCAAAAACTAAAAATCCAGAATTTCCAATATAAAATATGGATTTTTTAGATTTTCCAAAAATTTGATTTTCATATCGATTATTTTGAAAACACATTATATTTTTCGATACATTTTGACCCCTTAAAGTTATTTTCGAACTCATTTCTTCGAAAACTACAATTTTTTCAAAATCTCCTAATGAAATATTGCAATTTTTAGGATTAAAAAAAATATTTTCAAACTAAATATTTCCAGAATCTTGTCTGGAGACCGCAATCATGCTATTTTTCGAATCAGTATGTCGAGATTTATATTCCAGTATTTTTTTGTGGATTTTCAGACAACTTTTCCGAAAGTTCAATTTTCGAAAATTCTTCCACGATTTTCGAAAATTACCCAAATAGATTATTTTGTAAATTTTGATTCCAGAAGTGATTTTTGGCTTGGTTTTTTGGAAAATTTCTACGATTTTTCCAGAGTCGCCAATATAAAACATGGCAATTTTTAGAATTTTTCAAAAATTTAGTATTCTTTGAATAACACGATAGTCAAAAACATGCTTAGATGGTAATTTTTTGTAGAGAAATAATAACGATTTTGCAATTAAATTTCGCTACTTTGGCTGTCGACGATTAAAAAAAATCATCACAATTGAGACAGGGTGGGTGGGCGGGGCTTATATTTTGTCTTTTTTCTTAATATACGTACCAGTCTTTTCAGAACAAGAAACTTTATTTTTTTCTTAATATACATAGTATTCTTTGAAGAACACGATACTCAAAAACATTTTTTATTTTTTCGTAGAGAAATAAGGATTTTGCAGTTAAGCTCCGCCCTCTTGGCTCACGACGAATAAAAAAATCATCACAATTGCGATAGGGCGGGTGGGCGGGGCTACATTTTGCCTTATTTTCTTAATATGTGTAGTCATCTTTTCACAACAAGAAACTTAAAACATGTTTAAAATGGTAAATTTGTAAATAAAAATACCGATTTTGCAATAATTACGCATTTAACTGTCTTTGTATAACACGATTGTTTAAGAACATATTTCACGTGGTATTTTTTCCGAGAGAAATAAGGATTCTACAATTAAACTCCGCCCCTCGATTTGCGACGAATAAAAAAAATCATCGGAATTGAGAGAGGGCGGGTGGGCGGGGCTTATTTATATTTTATCTTTTGCTTTCTTAATATATATAGCCATCTTTTCACAACAAGAAATTTAAAACATTAATTGAAAAATCGATATTTCCTTATACAAATTTTCGATTTTAAGCATGTTTTAAAAGTTAAAAGAAGTCTACACATGTTAAAATAAAAAGGCAAAGTGTAAGCCCGCCCACCCGCCCTGTCTCAATTCTGATGATTTTTTTTAGTTGGAAAATACTTATTTCTTTACAAAAAATTAAAAATATGTTTTTGAGTATCGTGCTGTTCAAAGAATACTATGTATATTAAGAAAAAAAAGACAAAATATAAACCCCGCCCACCCACCCCATCTCAATTGTGATGATTTTTTTTATTCTTAGAAACCTAGAACACGTTTAAAATTTGCAAACCGATTATTTCGAGAATCTTGCGCCGGAATCATAAACATGCAAAATGTTTCGAATCAGCTCTCCGAGATATAATTGCAGGTTTGTTTTTGGTTTTTAGGACATTTTTTCCGAAAGTTCAATTTTTCAATATTGTGAAAATTTTGACTCTTTCGACCATTTTCAAAAATTATCGAAAGACTTTTTTTATAGATTTTGGCCTCTGAATCCATTTTTTCTTCGAAAACCACTATTTTTCCAGACTCGCCAATATAGAACACGGAAATTTTTGGAATTTCCAAAAATTTGATTTTCAAATCGATTATTTCGAAAATTTTGCTCAAGAATCATGAGTACGAGATCTATATTTCAAAATATTTTAATTTTTTAGACAATTTTTCCGAAAGTTGAATTTTCCAATATCGTCAAAAATTTTGAACTTTTTTCGACCACCTTTGAAAATTACCGAAATATATGTATGTAGATTTCTACCTCCTAAAAGTTATTTTCGAACTCATTTCTTCGAAAACTCCTAGAATTTTTTCATAATCACTTAATGAAATATCACTTTTTTTTGTATTAAGAAAAATATTTTTTAAATTCAAACGTGTTATATTTTTCGATTTTTTTTTTTGGATTTTTAGACAGTTTTTCCGAATGCTCAATTTTTCGATATTATCAAAATTTCGATATTCGAAAATTATCTAGACAAATTTTTTTGTAGATTTCGACCTTTGAAAGTTAATTTCGAACTCATTTGTCCAGAATCGCGTAATGAAATATGACAATTTTTAGGACTGAAAAAAAAAAAATTTTCAAATATTATTTTTTCAATGCTCCCTTTGAAAATTTTGACTTTTTTTGACGACTTTCTAAAATTAACTAAAGAAATTATTTTGTGGATTTCGCCTCCAGAAGTGATTTTTTGCTTGATTTTTTTTTTAATTTCTACTGTTTTTCCAGAATCGTCCCATGAATATGGCAATTTTTCATAAACACATCATATTATTGGAATCAGCTTGTCGAGATCTAATTCAAAATTTTTTTATGTTTTTTTTACTACAACTTTTCGGAAAGTTCAATTTTTCACTACATTGTGAAAATTTCGACCTTTTTTCGATTCCCTTCAAAAATTACCGAAAGACATTTTTGTACATTTCAACCTCTGAAAATTATTTTTGAACCCATTTTTTCCTCGAAAACTACTATTTTTTCAGAATCGCCAAAATAAAATATGCCACTTTTTAGGATTTCTCAAAATTGTTATTTTCAAACCGATTATTTAGAAAATCCTGCTTCGGAATCATAAATACGCTATATTTTTCGAATCCGCTCGTCGGGTTCCAAGTCGAGATTTTTTTGTGTTTTTTTTTAATACAACTTTTCCGAAAGTCCAATTTTTCAATATTGTGAAAATTTCGACCTTTTTTCCACGATTTTCGAAAATTACCCAGACTATTTTGTAAATTTTGATTACAGAAGTAATTTTCGGGTTGTTTTTTTTGGAAAATTTCTACGATTTTTCCATTGTCGCCAATATAAAATATGGCAATTTTGAGGATTTTTCAAAATTTTTTTTCAAACAGATTATTTCGAAAATTTTATTTAGGAATCATAGACACGCTATATTTTTCCAATCATCTCGTCGAAATCTATCTTTCAGAGTTTTGTTTTTTTTAAGACAACTTTTCCGAAAGTTCAAATTGTCAATATTTTGAAAATTTTTATCCTTTTTCGACCACCTTCAAAAATTACGGAAAGACATTTTTTACAGATTTTAGCCTCTGAAAGGTATTTTCGAATCCATTTTTTCTTGAAAAACTAGTACTTTTCCAGAACACGGCAATTTTTAGAGTTTTTCAAAAATTTAGTAGTTTTCTTTGAATAACACGATAGTCAAAAACATGTCTTACATGATAATTTTTTATAATTTGTAACTATTTTGCAATTAAATTCCGCCACTTTGGCTGTCGACGATTAAAAAAAATCATCACAATTGAGATAGGGTAGATGAGCGGGGCTTATGTTTTGCCTTTTTTCTTAATATACGTAGTCGTTCTTTTCAGAACAAGTTTGACATGAGAAATTCTTTAGACAAATATGGATTTTGCATTTAAACCCCGCCCCTCGATCTGACAACGAATTAAACATTCTTCACAATTGAGAATTGATATCGGGGAGGGTATGGGTGGGGCCTAATATTAGGCTTTATTTTTTTCTTAATATACATAGTATTCTTTAAACAACACGATACTCAAAAACATTTTTTAATTTCTCGTAGAGGAATAAGGATTTTGCAGTTAAGCTCCGCCCTCTTGGCTCACGACGAATAAAAAAAATCATCACAATTGCGATAGGGCGGGTGGGCGGGGCTACATTTTGCCTTGTTTTCTTAATATGTGTAGTCATCTTTTCACAACAAGAAACTTAAAACCTGTTTAAAATGGTAAATTTGTATAGAAAAATACCGATTTTGCAATAATTACGCATTTAGTTGTCTTTGTATAACACGATTGTTTAAGAACATATTTCACGTGGTAGTTTTGCCGAGAAAAATAAGGATTCTACAATTAAACTCCACCCCTCGACTTACGACGAATAAAAAAAAAATCATCGGAATTGAGAGAAGGAGGGTGGGCGGGGCTTATTTATGTTTTGTATTTTTTTTTCTTAATATACATAGCCATCTTTTCACAACAAGAAACTTAAAACATTAATTGGAAAATCGATATTTCCTTAACAAATTTTCCATTTTAAGCATGTTTTAAGTTTAATGTTTTGAAAAGAAGTCTACACATATTAAAATAAAAAGGCAAAGTGTAAACCCGCCCACCCGCCCTGTCTCAATTGTGATGATTTTTTTTAATTGGAAAATATTTCTTTACAAGAAATTAAAAACATGTTTTTGAGTATCGTGTTGTTCAAAGAATACTGCGTATATTAAGGAAAAAAAGGCAAAATATGAACCCCGCCCACCCACCCCATCTCAATTGTGCTGATTTTTTAATTCTTAGAAACTTAGAACAGGTTTAAAATTTGCAAACCGATTATTTAGAGAATCTTGCTCCGGAATCATAGACATACAAAATTTTTCGAATCAGCTGCTCGAGATGTAATTCCAGATTTTTTTTGGTTTTTAGGACAATTTTTCCGAAAGTTCAATTTTTCAATATTGTGAAAATTTTGACTCTTTCGACCATTTTTAAAAATTATCGAAAGACTTTTTTTAATAGATTTTGGCCTCTGAATAAATTTTTTCTTCAAAAACAACTATTTTTCCAGAATCGTCAGTACAGAACACGGAAATTTTTGGAAATTCCAAAAATTTTATTTTCCAATCGATTATTTCGAAAATTTTGCTCCGGAATCATGAGTACGAGATCTATATTTCAGAATATTTTGTTTTTTTTAGACAACTTTTCCGAAAGTTGAATTTTTCAATATCGTCAAAAATTTTGAACTTTTTTGGACCACCTTTAAAAATGACCGAAGTCTTTGTAGATTTCTACTTCTTAAAAGTTATTTTCGAACTCAACTTCTATAATTTTTCCAAAATCATTTAATGAAATATGGCGTTTTTTGTATTAAAAAAAAATACTTCCTAAAATCTTGTCTTGATCGCAAACATGTTACATTTTTCGATTTTTTTTGGATTTTTAGGCAGTTTTTCCGAATGCTCAATTTTTAATAATAATGATAATAATAATAGTAATTTATTTTCCCACAGACATTTAACGTCCTTATGGGAACAAAATTATAAATAATAATATTTTTTCAAATCGTATTTTTTTTTTAAATTTTGACTTTTTTTGACGACTTTCTAAAATTAGCCAAAGAAATTATTCTGTAGATTTCGCCTCCAGAATTGATTTTTGGTTTCATTTTTTTTTAATTTCTACCTTTTTTCCAGAATCGTCCAATGAAATATGGCAATTTTTAGAATTTCTCAAAAATTTTATTTTCAACCCAATTATTTGGAAAATCTTGCTTCGGAATCATAAACACGCTAGATTTTTCGAATCAGCTCGTCGAGATCTATTTCCAAAATTTTTTGTGTTTTTTATACAAGTTTTCGGAAAGTTCAATTTTTCACTCTTGTGAAAATTTCGACTTTTTTTTGATCACCTTCAAAAATTACCGAAAGACATTTTTGTACATTTCAACCACTGAAAATTATTTCCTCGAAAACTACTATTTTTCTAGAATCGCCAAGATAAAATATAGTACTTTTTAGGATTTCTCAAAATTTTTAGTTTCAAACCGATTATTTAGAAAATCCTGCCTCAGAATTATAAACACAGCTCGTCGAGATCTAATTCCAAAATTTTTTGTGTTTTTTAGACTTTTTCGTAAGTTCCATTTTTCAAAATTGTGAAAATTTCGACCTTTTTTCGACCACTTTCAAAAATTACCTAAAGACATTTTTGCAGATTTAGACTTCTGAAAGTTATTTTCGAATCCATTTTTCCAGATTTGCCAATATAAAATATGTCAATTTTTAGGATTCCCCAAAACTTTGATTTTTAGACCGATTGTTTCCAAAATTTTTAACCCTCGGATATATTTTTCGAATCCGCTCGTCGAGATCTAATTCCAGAATTTTTATATTGTTGTGAAAATTTCGACCTTTTTTCGACCACCTTCAAAAATTACCGAAACACATTTTTGTAGATTTCGCCCTCTGAAAGTTAATTCGGACCTATTTTTACTATATTTTACTACTACTAAGTACTATTTTTCTAGAATCGCCAATACGGCAATTTTCAGGATTTCTCAAAAATTTGATTTTTAAGCCCATTATTACAAAAATCTTGCTCGGAATCATAAGCATACTGTATTTTTCGAATCCGCTTGTCAAGACCTATTCAAAAATTTTTGGTGGATTATAGAGCCAACTTTTGAACAAGCTAAATTTTTCACTTTTGAAATTTTCAACTCTTTTCAATTAGGGGAATTTTTAGTAGATTTCGACCTTAAGAAGTTATTTTAGAGCCCATTTTTCTGCGAAATCTACTATTTTTCCAGAATCGCCAATATAAAATATGTCAATTTTTAGGATATCCCAAAAATTTGTTTTTCAGATCCATTGTTTCCAAAATTTTACTTCGGAATCATAAACACGCTATATTTTTCGAATCCGCTCGCCGAGATCTAATTCCAGATTTTTTGTGCTTTTTTAGAAAACTTTTTCGAAAGTTCAATTTTTGAATATTGTGAAATTTTTTTATAGATTTCGACCTTTGAAAGTTAATTTCAGACCGATTTTTACTATATTTTACTTAGTACTATTTTTTCACAATCGCCAATATAAAAGACTGCAACTTTTAGGATTTCTCAAAAATTTGATTTTCAAGCTGACTGTTTCAAAAATTTTGTTTCGGGATTATAACACTATATTTTTCAAATCAGCTTATCGAGACCTATTCAAAAATTTTTGGTGGATTTTAGACGCAACTTTTTAGCAAGCTAAATTTTTCACTTATGAAATTTTCAACTCTTTTCAATTTCAAAAATTAGTGGAATTTTTAGTAGATTTCGATCTCGAGACTTCATTTCTTGAAAATTCATACGATTTTTTCAGAATCTGGCAATTTTTAAGATTTGCCAATATAATTTGATTTTCAAACCAAATATTTTGAAAATGTTGCTCCAGAACCATAAACGCCTGACCTTTTTTCGACGACCTCGAATTAAAACAGACAGGAAATTTTTTTCCAGTTTTAACATAAGTTTTATATCAAATTTAATAAATCATCTAAAGATCTATATCAGATTAGAAATAAGTAGTGGTGAAATAAGTAAGTTATTGCTTCAAGGAAGTTGATTATCAAGCGATTTATTTTATCGACTATTATTATCACGAAATGACTTACTATAATAATACTTGAAAGATTTTTTTTAATTAAGAAATAAAGATAAAGAACAGCAATCTAAATATGTTTCCGAAAATTTTTTGATTCAAAGTTGGCTCTAATTAACATATAATATTTGGTTTCGTTGAGCGAGATTACAAAATAATATGATGAATACGTTTTTTAAATGCGTAAAATGCAATATTTTTTATTTCAGATGAAAACGGGGAAGTTGTTTAAGCCATTTTTGTATCAAAATGTTTTAAAATAACTTTGAAATTTTATATTTTTATTTGTTTTTAATGTTGTAAAGCACTTTTCCGTTTGGGAAAAAATATATATTCAGAATTTCCGTCATCGTTTTGAATTTTGCAGTATCGTCACATTTATCACATTTAGGCCACTGAAAAAATACAAATTGTTCGGTTTATTTTAAGGTGAGTCACTAAGAGCGCGTCCTTGATATCTCAGTATTATTGAAAACAGAAAAAAAATGTATGGTTGTTTGAGTGTCATCCATTAAAATTGTTTTCACTATTACAGAGTGTTCCATTTTTAACACACAACTTAGTTTTTTTTAAAACAACACCCTATATATTTTTATATATTCTCACTGGCTTCTTTCTAAGCTCTAAAGCCATAGTTTATTTTTGCAATCCCGTGCGACGTTGTCACGTTATTTTCAAAATCCGTTACAACATGCAGTACCTAATAAAATACAGAATGTTCTATTTGAAAAAATCTAAAGTATTTTTTTGTTTGAAAATTGTGATGAATTCGATTTTATAGACATTCGCTATATTAAAATACGAGATTATAATTATCATGTAGTCAGAACGTTATTTTTGTAATTATAGAAAATTTTACGATAGTAAATTTTAGTGTACACAAAATAACGTTCTGAATATAGATTAATTAAACGGGAATACGTACTTCATGTTTGTGTTATCTGCAACCTGTTTCAGTATTGTTGCCACACAAAACTGCGAAACTCAAACACTTCCAGTCATTTATTTTGTTATCACCGTTTAACATTGAAAACTCGGTTAGTTAAAACGCGAATTGTGCGATGTTGTACATATATGTGCTAATTAGGTTATTCATTGAGCTAAAGCGGCAAGGTTGAAAGAATTAAGCGGTTTCAGATTTTCTGGCTTTTCGCCAAGCTAAACATCAACAATAAACAGATTCCAGCTATAAAATTTAACCAGTCCGGAATTTTCCATTTTTTTTTAGTTTCAAAAAAACTACAAACATAAAAATAGAAACAAACAACGAATTCTGGCGCTGTTTACACTCGAATAAAAGTGCAGTTATCTTTCAACATTTAAATGTGTAACTAATTATCGGATTTGGCAGCACATAGCGTAATATTATTTTCGCTTTTTATTATTTGCAAACTTTATTATCTCCTTGTGTGTAATTAACTACCTCGCGCAATAAAAATATTACTGCGTAACTAAATAACTCGAATAGCACGAATTTTTCAAAGCTGACTTACAAAAATCCATTTCTCGAAAACACTGCGACGGAACGACGAACATTCTTGCGCTAATTCAAACCGAAACTATTTGACCTATCAATTGATTGTGCTACTGAAATTATGATTTAATTTCAGCGCAACAAAGACACCACACCCGGTGTCAAGTCAGCGAAAAGTCGCACAGTTTCGGGTTGGAATGGCCGGAGGATGCCAACGCGTTCACTCACACTCACCCCTTTATCCACGTAAGTGCACTATTTTTGCAAACAAAAACCCGAAAAGTCACACTTCATTGTGACGTTTTTGAATTCGTTGCGAAGTTGTCACTTGCGTAGTGTGGATTTCGATTGCAGCCGGGACCCCTGTAGTTATCAGACTGAGATAAGATTCAGCACTTCCTAACCGAACATAGTATTACAAGTGACGCTTCAGTGCAGATGGTTTTTTATTTTTAGTGTATCACCACGTTTATCTACACCAGGTTCTTTTACCTTTCATTTTATTTCTTGCGTGAATCACTGTTAGTTACGACATTCGTGCTAACACCACCAATTACACCGGTTTCTAATTGCGACAGAAATAACTCCGTGGAACAATCAGAATTACCATATTTCGAAATTCGATAATTTTTTAAAAATCGTGGACGTAATAGTGCGTGAGCCACATCACTACACAGTACAGAGATAGCCTCTGACTTGTTACTTAATCGCGTCATTTTGCAGCGGAATGACGGGGAGTTTGTCCGAAATCCAGGCCAAAGTCGAGGAATGGCTGCAATGGGACCGGGACAAGAAAACCGCACTCACCATCAAGCGCTTAGCCCACGAAGAAAAATACGATGAGCTGTCGAAATTGTTGCTTGATCGGTTATCGTTCGGGACGGCGGGATTACGGGGGAGAATGGGGGCAGGGTACGCCGCCATGAACGATCTAGTGATCATTCAAACAGCGCAAGGGTTACTTAACTATTTAGAGGTACGTGAGGAGGATTTGTTGATAGAAAATGGGATCGTGATTGGGTACGACGGGCGACATAACAGCAAAAGGTATAGTGTTATAGTGTTATAGTCAGACACACAAATTACTTAGTTTCAATATTTTAGGTGGGCCGAGCTCACAGCTAGTGTTTTCATACACAGAGGTTACGTCGTTAGACTGTTTAGTGCGGTGGTACCAACACCCTTCGTCCCATTTACCGTCGCCAAGTACGAATGTGCCATAGGTGTTATGGTAACGGCGTCCCATAACCCCAAAGAAGACAACGGTTACAAAGTAACTATAACTAAGTGTGTGGTACCACCACTGACTTCACTTGCAGGTGTATGGGTCAAACGGCGCACAAATCGTCTCACCCGTAGATAAAGAAATCCAAAAAAATATTCTAAGAAATTTAGAACCTTTAGAAACGTCATGGGACACGTCGGTACTTAGTACCAGCCCACTTTTAAGTGACCCTTTAGACGAAACTTTGCACGACTACCTGCACACAATTGAAGAGACAATTTTACCACAACACAAAGAAATTAATGCGACGGCTCAAGTACTCTTCACTTATACCGCGATGCACGGAGTGGGGTACCGCTACGTCGCAAAAGTTTTTGATTTAATTAAAGTGCGAATGGTACCGGTGGAGGAGCAAAAAGACCCGCACCCGGATTTCCCCACCGTCAAGTATAAACCCACAATTTGCTAACTCCACCTAATGCGATCTTCCAGATTCCCCAATCCCGAAGAAGGCAAAAGCAGCTTAGACCTTTCGTTTAGTACCGCCAACGCAAATGAAAGTCGCGTGATAATTGCTAATGATCCAGACGCGGATCGAATGGGAGTTGCCGAAAAAAACGAAGAGTACTCACCTGCTGTGTAAAAGTACGACTTTAACTAATTGTTGTGTTACAGAAGCGGCGAATGGAGGGTTTTTACGGGTAACGAACTCGGCGCTTTGTTAGGCTGGTGGTGTTTGTACTGTTTCAAACTCAAGTACCCCTACGAGCCCCTAGAAAACACCTACATGCTCTCTAGTACCGTAAGTTCGATGATTCTCCGCTCCATGTCGAACAAAGAAGGGTTCAACTACATCGATACTCTCACTGGTTTCAAATGGATGGGTAATCGAACCTACGACTTGTTGAAAGAGGGCAAGAAGGTCATTTTCGCGTTTGAAGAAGCGATCGGCTTTTGTTGCGGTACTGCCGTTTTGGATAAAGATGGCGTGTCGGCGGCGTTTCAACTAGCGACTCTTACGTCATATTTGTACAACGATAAAAAGACTTTAGGGGATAAGCTAGGAGAGATTTATGACGAATACGGTTATCATGTGTCTCGCAATTCGTACTTTATCTGCTATGAAGCCGACAAGATTAGGAGTATTTTTGAAAGGTTGCGAAACTATAAACAAGGAAGGAAAGGGGTATTAGTTTCATCGGTAGCGATTTAAAAAATTAAAGTCGGTTTTTAGTACCCTACGGGAATTCTGGACGAGAAGTACGAAATTAGTACCGTTAGGGATTTGACGACGGGATTTGATAATAGTCAAGCTGATGAGAAGGCCGTTTTACCGGTATCCAGGAGTAGTCAAATGATTACTTTTAATTTTAGTAATGGGTTAGTTTGTACGCTGAGGACGAGTGGTACCGAGCCCAAAATTAAATACTATACCGAAATGTGTGCCACTCCTGGAGATGCGTAAGTGATTTATTTAGTGATAAATAAACCAATTTTAATGTATTTAATATTTAGGAATCAGGAGGCGATTTTAGACACGTTAACGGAAATGGTTGATGGGATAATCGCAGAGTTTTTAGAACCAGAAAAAAACGAGTTGATAGCAAAGCATGACTAATTTTGTACAACTTTAGATAATGTATTAGACGCATTTTACTTGTTTGTTGATTCGTTACAATAAAGAAAATACCACCTCGTGTTAATCACAAAATACAGCTACAAAAGCATTTCTTGGAGCTTGAATTTCTGAATTTTCCCGGATGCGGTTCGAGGAAAGTTTTCGAAAATCGCCATTTTCGTGGGAATTTTGAAATCGGCCAACTTTCCTTTGCAGAAAGTGGCGAGTTCTTCTAGTGTTAAGTGTGACTGGGGTTTGATTCTCACGCAGGCACACACTTCTTCTCCCAGTCTTTTGTGTGGGGTACCTATTACCTGCACTTCCACAACTAGTGGATGGGTAATCACTAATTCTTCGATTTCTTTGGGAAAAATATTTTCTCCGCCTCGTAAAATCATGTCTTTTAGTCTTCCGACCGCTTTTCCACTACCATCTTCTTCAAGAATGAATTGATCCCTAGTCAAATGGGTTCAAAATATAGTAAAATAGGTAAGTACTGAACTAACCCAGTTTTGAGCCACCCGTCCTTTCTTAACATTTCGTTAGTTCTTTCGTCGTCTTCCCAGTAACCTAGCATGTTACAATACCCTCTTATGCATAGTTCACCCGGGGTACCAAAAGGTACCATTTCACCATTGTCGTTTATTACTTTAACCTCAACATGTTCTTGTACGTAGTACACAAGAATTGGAGAATTTTCAATTGGTACTGATTGGAACACTGACGCTGTACATTCTGTCAATCCATAGACGGACTGAAACACAAAATCTAAACCATATAGACAAACAAACAATTAATTTACATTAATTTTGGAGATATTTAAGGTTTTTAATATTTGTTCTAATAAATGTGGTGCACTTGGGGTACCACCTAAGAGAGCCATTTCTACAGATATAGATTCTTTCCGTTTTTCTTGAGTTTCTATCAAGTCTAGAAACATCGTAGGCGTTCCAGTGATCACAGTGCACTTCTGGTTTTTGATTGCGTCCAAACTTTTCTCGGGTTGGTAACCGTCTGTTGGTAAAACTATAGTACTGGCGAAATTTAAAGCTGCCATGATAATTCCGACGGTACCAAACACATGAAAAAGTGGTACTTGTACACAAATTGTGTGATGTTTACCAGCCAATTCCATTCTTTTTCCAATCAAGAATCCGTTATTGATCATTTTGAAATGGGTGGCTAAAGCAGCTTTGGGTTTTCCTGTGGTTCCCTGAAGTACCGTGACTAAGTATTGATGGGTTAAAATGAAAACGATTCTCACTGAAGTGAAATGGAGGCTGCTGCCGTCATCGGGACTAATAGTAAGTTGCAATTGTTGTATAATTTCGATTTCGGTACTACTCGCCATGTCCAAAATTTGGTCAAAAGTGTAAGTACCACTACAGAAAACCACAGTATTAGTGCAAAATTCAGTTATTTCGTTATTAAGTACCGTTTAAAGTCGTCGCTGATACGAATGACGGTTTTAAGCGATGGTACTTTTTTGCTTTGAAGTTTCCCAGGGTCGCACTTTTGCAGTTCTGGAGCTATACTCAACAGAGTCTCGTAATAATCGCGGTGTTTAAATTTATCACCACACACCAACGCTTTCATTTGGGTTTTGCTAATACAGTACTCTATTTCCGGAGCTTCGTAAACTGGGTTTAAACCAGTGGCGGCTCCTCGGGGTGGGCAGGGTGGGTAATGCCCACCCTATTTGATTGTTTATGATACGAAGTAAAATATTGATTTTTTTTTCTTTTTTGAAATATTTTATATGCATACACAAATAATTATCGTCGTAAACATCATTTAAGCCAACGGATTTTCTTCATTACATCCCGCAGTTTCCGCAACTGAGAAATTGCAGTTGTAAAAAAGTGCCTCAGATCTCGGCGTTATACGGTTCATGTGAGGATGGGCTAGTCCACCCTGGTCCACCCTCTTGATTGTAAGCAACGACATACGTTCGGTTTTCTATGTACGTAATTGAGAGTAAAGAATTCGAAACGCGCGTCTTTGCATATCCCTGTTTTCTTGCTTCAAGCGGGGCAGGACACCCTGGCCTCAACGTATATCTCAAACGCTGCAGAATCGGATCTCTCGATATTCGATTCAAGGATTCAATAAATTAATTTCAATTTTTTTACTTCTTCTGTATTGTAAAAGTATAGAGGTAATTATTTTTATTACTCTATTGAAATATGGGTAAGGTAGTAAGGAAAATAATGTTATGCGAAAATTCTTGAATACTATTGTTACAGAAAAGAGCAACGCCATAATAATTAATAAATACTTTTTCATATCAAATGAAAATTTGTAATAACCATATTCTTGTATTATGACACCGTGTAAACTTTATAATGAATTATAAATTTAAAAATCCGAATAACCAATGATGAGAATAAGTAATACATTTATTATTGCAGTACGTATCTGGCATGTGTATTTTTTTATTATTACATATGCATTTTTGTTTCATAAATATAACTGTAGCAAAGTCAACAAAAGTTAAATATACGCTTAATTTATTATTTAATTCAGACTGTCCGCACAGGTTTGTTACGCGTTCGCTCTAGCATGGGTGGGCAAATCCACCCTGAAAATCGGAAGCACTCGGCATGGTTCGTCCTCGTCGGAGACACGACTCAATTGAATTCAGTCAGATCAGAAACTGCAATGTGGGTAGTGCATTTAATTATAAAATGTAGCTTATTCAAATTACCAAATAGTTAGGCGGGTACCAAAGTAGGTACTTTCTAGCAATTTTTTTTAATGGCAAATCCTACTGTAAGCTGCGCAAATAATATTAGAGAGGTGGTAAAGAAGGCATTAAAGATATTGAGTTTTTGTTTTTAATAAATAAATTCAGTAGTATGGAACTTGATATTTATGAATTATTTGTTTATAAATTAAGATCATGTCCCGAAATGAAACAATTGGTCATCACAAACTCTCGTGGCAGTAATAAAGGCTTTAATCAAAATTCGGACAATAAATATTACCTACCTATTGGTTGATCGGTAGTGAAACAACAAACAAAACTGTTGGAATTATCTGCTATTTAACATAAAATTAAATTACGAACACTTTAAAATTCCACAAGAAGAGCGATATAATATATATTGCTACTGCTTTACAAGAACATGACCAATCTGAATAAACGAAAATTACTTGGAAAACGAAGTGAAACTATAGAAAATTCTCTTAAATTCGGCGTTTATTCGATATGATAATTTTCTTGGCTACACAAAAACATACATTTCGGGGACAAGATGAATCGCAAATTTCTCTTAAAGTAAATTCGATGATAAATTTAAAAAGTTTTTTGGAGGAGTCTTTGGTAATTAGTGGTCTTCAGAACGATTATTTTGGAATTATTTTTATTTTATTTGTTATTATTAACTTTGTTAGTATTTTGAGAATTTATTTTTTGTTTCATTTGGCATTTTTAATTTTGCTTTTACAATAATTTTCCAAATTGCTGCTTTTTCTAAGTGTAGCTTATCTCAAAGGTTTAAAATCTAATGTTTTCTCGTCATGTTATTTCAAAATCTTTTCATGTTGGGATCATTATTTGAGTTTATAGTTCTATAAACACCTAACAAATCTATTTATGTGCTGAACCTTTTTTTTTGTTCCTCTTTCCTCTTCTAGCAAGAGTCTTCGACGTTCTCGTTGGTTCTTGCTGACCGACATTGTAAGTAACATTTATAAAATAATATATATGTAATATACATAAAATATTTGTTATATTATATTGATTGACATGCAGCACCAAAACAAAAACACGTTCTCACAAAAATGATTAATTATATATATATATGTATATATTTTTTTTCATACATGTTGTAACCTATACCTATAATGCTTTGCCCACCCATCAAAAATCACCACGAGCCGCCACTGGTTTAAACATACCTAAAAATTATTAAAACAAAATTTGTTAAATAAAATGTGTTGTTGCCAACCGCAATTAACCCAGCTCTCGCACATGCCATCATCGTTATATACCATTCCAGTAAATTTGGAGCCCAAATTCCCAAGCGGTCATTTTTTTCCAAATTTAATAGTTTGAAACTTGCAGCCACTTTGTCAGTTTTGTCTAACAGTTCAGAGAATGTCAGAAATTTGTCCTGATGGACTGAAATGATGGCTTTTCTGTCGCCGAAATTTTTGGCCACTTCCTCTAAAAGTTGTCCAATTGTGACATATTTTAAAGGCTGTTCGCCAACTTTGTGTACGTAACTTGGTTTAGTAGAATACATTGGATGTGGATTTTCTGAAAGACAATGTTGTGTTAATAGTTTCGACATCTTCCAAAGTATCGCTTTCTGTAAACAACACGTAAATGCGTTATTAGTAGATTTTGATTTTTTATAATTACTTGTAACGTCGTAAGTGGAAATAAATAATACTTAACTTACCTGATGCATATAGGTTTAGTATTCGTAAATGGAGAATTATTGTTGCAAACTGATAAGGCGACTGTTCAAAATAACAATTTCAAATTACTGTCGTCAAGTACCTATCCTTGACTTGTTAAACGTGAAGTCGTTTTAGAAATAAATTAGTTCATAGCGAAAGAATTTCAGTAATTCCTCGCATTTTATTCCAACATAATTATTTATTTTTTCTTTCTGAGCGTAGCGTTTCCGTGTCTGTCCGTCTGCCTTTCTGTCTCTCTGTCTGTCTCTGTCTGTGTCGAATTTTCACCCTAGACATCCAGAATTTTCGGAAAAATTCAAAACTGAATAACAATATTTTGCAATATAACTGTGAAACTGCAAAACCGATTACCCTGAAATATTGTAAATATTTTAAAGTGATCGTAATCATGGTAGGTATATCGTTAAGCAAAATTTGGTCGTTTATCCCCTTCCAAAAAATTGATGACGTCATCTCAAAATTTTGCCGAATAAATCCTATCCAAAATGTCATGTGATTTAAATAATATAATATAATGGTTGTAATAAAATTCGCAAAATCAAATCTTATTTTTCGAAAAATCCTGGTTTATATTTATCTTTAATCAATTTTTGAGATGTTTTTCATCTTCTTTCATTTTTCAGTTTTTCCATTTTTCGACGTTTCGGTTTCATAATTTTTCGTTTTTGCAACCTTAGTCCGGTTTATGGAAAGCGAATTAAAAGTTAATCGCGATTAATTTTAATTGAGTATTTTGTTTCCTCAAATTTCAGGTTCTTTATTTTTATTTTCCATTTTTAGGATTTTTAAATTTTCTTAATTTTATTCACAATTTTTCGATTCATTTCCTTTTTTTCAATGTTTCTTCCGATTTTACAATTTTTCGTTTGTTTATTTTATTCTTCAAATTTTTCATTATTCAGTTCCTCGATTTTCCAATTTTAAAATTTTTCAATTTTGCAAATTTTGGATTTCTCAATTATCCGATTTTTCGATTTTTTTATTTCCAGTATTTCGAATTTACCATATTTCGTTTTCGACTTTGTAGTTATTCGATTTGTAATGCCTGTTTGTACTATACTTTTAATCACCTGAAAATGGTAAATTTTTGTACAGAAATATGTATTTTGCAATGAGACTCCGCCCCTAACCGGCTCTAACAACGAATGAAAACTTCATCACAATTGGGACCGGGGCGGGTGGGTGGGGTTTAATCTTCGTCTTTTTTTTTAGTATATAGAGTTTTCTTTCAACAACAGGATAGTTAACATGTTTTTGGTTGCTTGTTGGGAAAAAAGGCTTGGTATATTCAGGAAAAATGGACAAAATATATGCCCCGCCCACCCACCCTTTCTCATTTGTGATGAATTTTTTATTCATCGTGAGCTGAAAAGTGGAGCATAATTACAAAATTCTTATTTCACTACAAAAAATTACCATACGAATTTTGTTTTTAAAAGGGTAGAATTTTCTAGAGAAATTTTGATGTTACAATTAAACTCCGCCCCTCGGTCTGATTAGGAATGAAAAACCCATCACAATTAAATCATGTTTTTGTTTTTTTATATATAAAGGTTTTTTTTAACAACAGGATGGTTAATATGTTCAGTTTCTTGTTGGGAAAAAAGACTGTATATTAAGAAAAAAATGGACAAAAGATAAGACCCGCCCACCCACCCTTTCTCAAATGTGATGAATTTTTTATTCAACGTGCGTTAAAGGGTGGAGCTTAGTTACAAAATCCTCCTTTCTCTACAAGAAATTACCATAGGAAATATGTTTTTAAAAGGGTTGAATTTTCTAGACAAATTTTGATGTTACAATTAAACTCCTCCCGTCGGTCTGATTAGGAATGAAAAACTTATCACAATTGAGATCGGGGCGGGTGGGTGGGGTTTAATCTTTTTTTTTTTTTTTAAATAAGTATAGGGTTTTTTTTTAACCGAGTAGTTAATATGTTTTCAGTTTCTTGTTGGGAAAAAGGACTTCGTATATTAAGAAAAAACGGACAAATTATAATAACCATATAAATTATGTTTGTAAAAGGGTAGAATATTGTAGAGAAATTTTGATGTTACAATTAAACTCCGCCCCTCGGTCTGATTAGGAATGAAAAACTCATCACAATCGAGATCCGGGTGGGCGGGTGGGGCTTAATCTTTGTTTTTTCTGTATGTACGTAGTTTTCTTTCAACATTTTTTTGGCACAAAGAATAAGAGATATTATAATAAAAAAAATAATTTTGGATTGTACTGTACAAAACTCGTCTGAAATTTCAAATCGAAAAACTTGAAAATCTAAAAATTGAAACGTCCGAAAGTTGGAAAATCAGAAAACTAGAAAATTTAAAAATAAAAACTCGAAGACATCGCAGAATTGTAGAAAAGAAAAACAAAAGATCGAAAAATTGCAAATGGAAAAATTAAAAATTGAGAACTCGAGAAACTCAATTCGAAAAATTGCAAAATCAATAAATTGAAAAATTCAAAAGTTGAAAAATGCACAAAAAATGAAAGATTGAAAAACTGGAAAATTAAAGTCAAAAAAGCTGTGGGACCGTTATTTACGCCACTGGATTTTACTTTATAGAGGTTATCAGAAAACAAAAATTGCAAAAAATCGAAAAAGTGGATTTATTTTTTTATTTGTTGAAATAACCTTCGCCCAATTTTTTCCCTGTCAACTCATATTAATAACAAAATACCATTACAAATTTTCTTTAAACATTTCTTTCAAACAGCATTTCTTGAAGCTTAAGTTTCTGGATTTTCCCTCCAGCTGTTCGAGGAAAACTGTCGAAAATTTCCATCCTCGTGGGAATTTTGAAATACGCCAACTTTCCTTTACAGAAAGTTACGATGTCTTCAAGGGTTAAATTTGATTGTGGTTTAATTCTCGCACACGCACAAACTTCTTCCCCTAGCCTTTTATGTGGTGTACCAACCACCTAAAAAGAATAATAGTTAATTTAGTTATTATTATATTATATTTACACATTATAACTTACATACACTTCCAAAATATCTGGATGTGTGATCAAAAATTGTTCGATTTCTTTTGGAAACACATTTTCTCCTCCTCGTATAATCAGATCTTTTATTCGTCCGACCACTTGTCCACTTCCATTTTCTTCAAGAGTGAACTGGTCTCTAATAGAAAATTTACATTTCAATGAAATTAGATAAGAACGAAACAAACCCTGTTCTAAGCCAACCGTCTTGTCCTATCAGATCATTCGTTTTCTCTTCATCTTTCCAGTAACCTGACATGATACTATAACCTCGTACGCACAGTTCTCCAGGAGTACCAAAAGGTACCATTTGGTCATGTTCATCTATTATTTTAACCTCCATATGTTCTTGTACGTACTTCACAAACTTTGGAGATTCTTCTTTAATTCCTGTCAGTACTGATTGAAACACTGATCCAGTACATTCTGTTAGTCCATAGATCAACTGAAACACGAAACTGAGTATGGAGAAAAGCAAACAGTTAACTTACACGGATTTTAGGTATATTCAAGGTTTTTATAATCTGTTCTAACAGATGATCTGAGGCTGGAGAAGCACCTATGAGAGCTATCTCTGCAGATATAGGTTCTGTGCGTTTTTCTTGACTTTCAATTAGATCTATATACATCGTAGGAGTTCCAATAAGTACCGTGCACCTGAATTTTCAATATTACAAAAATATTTGATTTATGGTAGTGACATACTTTTCGTTTTTGATTACGTCCAAAGCTTTACTGGGTTGGTAACCGTTCGTAGGTAAAACTATGGTACTACCGTGATGTAACGATGCCACGATTCCAGAGAGAGTACCATAAATATGAAAAGGTGGTAGTTGCACACAAATTTTATGATGCTTGTTGGATAGTTCTATTTTTTTTCCCAACAAGAACCCATTATTGACCATTTTGAAGTGGGTGGTTAAAGCCGCTTTTGGTTGTCCTGTACTTCCCTGAAACGTCGTGGAATAAGTATTTATAGTACAAAATAAAAAATAAATTAACTGAAGTGAAATAAAGGCTGCAACCATCATCTGGACTGATACTGTGCTGCAGTTTTTGTACTGCTGCGATTTCAGTGTCACCAGCTTGATCCAAAATTTCGTGAAAATTGTAAGTACCTCTGGAAACAACAGTACTGTTAGTTAAAACTTTAAAGAATCTCGTTCGCTAGTACCTTTTAGTGTCTAAGAGACGGCACTTTTTTACTTTGAAGTTTGCCAGGGTCGCACTCTTCCAGTTCTGGAGCTACAGTTAACAAAGTCTCGTAGTAATCATGGTGCTTAAATTTATCAGCACACACCAAAGCCTTCATTTCAGTTTTGTTGATACAATATTCGATTTCCGATGGTTCAAAAACAGGATTTACGCATACCTGAAGCAAAACATTGGTTCAAGTGATAAATATGGCTGTTTTCTAACCGAAATGAGACCAGCTCTTGCGCATGCCATCTTGGTGAGGTACCACTCCATCAAATTCGGAACCCATATTCCTTAGAGATCACTTTTTTCTAAATGTAATAATTTGAAACTTGCGGCCAGTTTATCCGCCTTCTGTAAAAGTTCAGAAAACGTCACTGATTCGTTTTGGTGTGTTGAAATGATGGCTTTTCTGTCGCCAAACTTGCTGGCTGCGTTTTCTAAAAGTCGTCCGATTGTGATATATTGTAAAGGTTGGTCACCAATGTGGTGTATATAACTGGGTTTTCTAATAGACTTTCTGAAAGTATTTGGCTGTTAAAAATATGAATTTCAGTTCCAAATTGTTACTTAGTTGTTTGTAAACTTTTCGAAATGCTGTCTTTTGAAAACATGTTCAGTGATTTGCTGTTGTTAATTAGGTTTCGGTCTTTTCTCTTTACTTGCAATATCGTAAGTGGACACAAATAATGGACATGACTTGTAGATACTCAGTTTGTCGTCAAGCAAGATGCACTTGTCTGGTTCGTAAATTGACAATGAGTGTTGCAAGTTGATAAGTGTAACAACATTAAAATTCCAAAAAATTTGCAATTAGTAACTATTCTAATGTGTCCTTCAATGTGTTTTTCAATCCACTAATCAGCTACCTTTGGACAACTGAAACATACCTACATTTTTCATTGATTTGATAAACTGGAAGAATGTTTTTAACATGATAATAATAGCCATAACATTTACTCTGATTAAGTTTTATCACTCGTTTTTTGGAATTTAGTTGATAGGGAAGACAAGAATTTGATAAGTTTATTTGGAACTAAATTACATGCACAATAAAGTACAAAACGTGAAAGGAAAAAATATGAAGTTATAGAAGCATAAAATAAGTTTTTGTGG